TTCCATTTTGTCTTTGATATAACGCACATAACCCACACCCAATTCAATTTGATGTATAACAGTGTTTACCCCACTACTTCATTTCATCTGATGACGACATAATATGATTTTAAAGAAGTGAGTTATACCATAATATCCTTTTGTGTTTTATATGTATAACATTGTATAACTAATTTTGATTTATCAATAAACCTTTTCACAAAGGGATTAGTAGACCTACTCATAGCTCTGACGGTATAAATACAAATGGGTGATCTGCAGTTCGTAACTCGAAAATAAATGTTTTATTACGAGATAGTTAAGTCAAAAAAAATGTCTTAATTTCTAAATAGGAGATATATAAGACGAAATAAAATGGTTTTTTTTTTACCAATGTCATGTCCCCAGAGCGCTGTTGGTTCCATTTAAAGAAATGAAATTTAATATCCAATCAAGATATCTTGAAATTAATGTCTTAATTTCGTCTTATTAACATAAATTAAATGATAATAAAATAAAATATTTGTTTTAAATATTATGGCCCCAGGACGCTTCCGTATAAAATTCTGTTATTATTACTTAATAAAATATTGTTAAAAATGGGCTGTACAGCAATGGCATTTAAAATACTAGGATCAGGTCTTATACCATTGTTCAGGTTATCCCATGCAATTAAAAGATTGTAATAAAAAGGCGGTAGAACGCGTAAAAGTTTAGGGTTAAAATATATCTTAAAAATATCCTTATCAAGGCCAAAATTGCCATATAACTTTAAAAAATAAGACATTGTATACTTCCATATGTTAAAATTTTCAGGGTTAAAATATAACTTTAACCATTTTAAAAGTAGGGCTTGTCCTTTTAGCTTAATGTCTACTAGCCCCATGCCTCCACATGATTTATCTAATGTCATTACATCGTATTTTATTAAAGGAGGCTTACCACTCCATAAAAATTTTAAAATTAATGATCTTAATTGCTGTTCAGTATGGTCAGGCATGGGGATAGTAGACATCGTATAGTAAAATTTAGACATAATTAAGGTGTTTATAACCGTGACTTTACCTAGAAGTGTTAAATTTCTTTTCTGCCATAGGTTAAGAATGGTTTTCACTTTAGTTACCTTTACCTCCCAATTATGTTTTACACATTCCTTTATATTGTGACCAAAATAAACACCCAGAATCAAAATTATGTCAAATGCTATCTTAAGTGGTAAATCTATATTTATTGTTTTGTTGATGGCAGAGCCAAATGGCATAATTGTTGACTTCTGGATGTTTATTTTGGCACCTGAAGCCTTACAGTAAGTATCTATACAACTAAAAACAGTATTTACAGAGTTAAGGTCAGCAAATACAAAGTTAAGCTTTCAAACAAGCTTTCAATTAAAGTTTACTTCATATTTTAAGACATGGGCTTAATGAACGTCAAGTAGGAAATAAATCGTCTTTTTACCGCACATTTACCAGACGTCAAATTGTCAAGGGACATAACTCTAAACAACCTTTTGGCTTCAGACAACAAAACCTAAATACAGTAAAACCCAGAGCCGTATATAGAGAGAGTCTGGACAACTACGTCACAAATTTAGTCATCATGAAAATTGCTCAAAGCAAGATGTGCACTATAAATCGTTATCAACAGAAACAGGCCCGTAACCAGACCAATGTGCCAAGGGGGGCAAATGCATTTGCACGGAGGCTGAAATAGCTGATAGAGACGGATTTCAGCTTCGATTGAGTACTTGTTTGAATTTTGCAGTGGAGGGGGGGGGGGGGGCGAAAATAATTCAAGGAAGGCGCCGCCCCACCCCACTCCCCACCCCTGTCTCTTTTACTTGTGGGCCTGAACAGAAAAAGGCTCATTATTCAGTTTCAATCAGCACAATTTATTTTATGTCATGAAGGCATGAAAGTTATATCACACCACTCAATAATCATCATTTCAGCTTTGAAACCATTTTGCTTCAGCTGTCGGCTGTTGTCCTGGCGATGTGTTTCTCTTTGACTGTCGTCGAAGTGATTCTGGAAGAGAAACCAAAATTTACACAAGTGACTGGCCCAAAAGACTTAGTGTTCACATTATAGTCTAGACCCACAGTCTACATCGCCCTTCCATATTTTTCTGCGAATGTCAATAATGAAATAACATAAACAATGGTGGCGTTTCATTTGATCTCTAAAGGGGGTGGGGTAATACTGATAGGCATTTAGGAAATCAATGATATTGATAGGGAGAAGGGTGGTGTTGGGGGGGGGTTTTGGGTTGAAAATCAGGACCAGCACAAATATTAGGATTAGGAGCCATAGCCCCTTGCCTCACCGTACAAGCACCAATATGGTGCACACCTTTAAATTATACTGTTTGTTTTGGTGATTGGAAGTAAATAATACTAAATACTAAATAAGTAAATAGTCTTAGAATTTCACATTTATAGAAAAACATAAATCGATCGATTATGTGTAGGCCTATTAGAAATGTTGTTGACAGTGTCTCAGAAGCCATGGTGCATGCTCCTCGTCTAGGCCTAGGTTTCCTGAACATAACACGATTTGCAAAACCCCTGAAATCATCGAATGTACTTACATCGCATAGAAAAGAGTTGTCGTGGGGAGTCCAGTCGGATCGTTTGACCTTTACTTCCCATTCTCTGCGTCTCCTTTTATCCTTAGGGAACCTGTGCATCACTATACCTTCTCCAGATTTGACAGAGCATTTCTATGCCACACATCGAGACATTCTGTTGCCAGGCAAGACCAGGAATTAGGCTTAAACAACGTAAAGAATACCCAGGCTCCTACGCCTAAACGTCGCGGGAAGGGTAACAATATGGCAGCCTTCAATCACGTGACCGCTCTGCGCCAATTATGGTTCAGCGCGGCGAGATCACAAGTTGGCCAGACTCTCTCTGTATACGGCTCTGGTAAAACCTGCAAAAGGTAGCCACAATAACTGTTAAGCAATTGTATCCTCTTTCGACTGGCATATTAATTAAATCGGCTGACCATATTTCATCTTTTTCAAATACTTTAACTTTTAAAAAGTTTTTAGTTTTTCTAAATTCTTTATGAATATCATCCGCTAATCCCATACCCAATTTCATCTTTGCTTTTAACAGTTTTATGATTAGAGCCCTTTGCATTCTCTCTTTGAAAGTTGGATTTGGAATATTTTCAAGTTCGATTATCATTTGTCTGTCTGCTTCGTGTCTGAAGTTTATGTCTTTGTTTCTGTATAGTATGTCGTGTTTAAGCGCAGCGGCGTCAACTCTATTGACTGGTTCTTCACCCGGTTTGGGTTTATCATTTTGGTATAATCGCAGACCGGGAAGATGTTTTTCTCCGGGATATTTTGCCCATGGAAATCCAGGAAGAGAACCCAATGATTTTTGTATATCTCCTGAACCAAAATACGTTTTTGGAGCGTGAGCGATAATCATTTTTATCCTATAACTTTAAAACCTTTTCCTTTCCTTTCTTCCAATCTCCTGTTTCGCAGATCTCTTATTAGTTGTAATTCTTTCAACTCGTTAGATAGTTTCACTGTGTCGCTTATACTCTTTCCCACTTCCGCGATTGAGCCGACGGCTTTCGCTTCGGATGAAATAAGTGATTTGTTGTTTGAAACAAAGCTAAATACTTTTGGAATTTTTTTTTGAACCTAGAGAAAATATTGATGAAAAGATACCGTCGCCCGAATAATCTTCAAATTTGTGTTGTTTGTGTTTTAGAATTAAACTCATCCTATTTTTAAATGAGTTAATTTAACTTTAACTTTTCCAAAAAAGAGTTATCTTCGTTCTAGAAGTTTCTAGACTAAAAAAAATCTCTCATACAATAATAAAACGGTGATATATTTAACTAATTCGCCCATCTCATAAGTTGAAAGTTTGTAGTTGTATCGGTTCCGTATTTATCGAGAAAGATATTCATTTTTAAAAGTCGGTTTTTTGAGGAATATGCGGTAAGTATTGTTGAAAACCCAACTGACGAAATATATACGTAGTTTGTGTTTGAAAAATATTGTATAACATTCTGCGTAAATGCTTGTCTACATCTAAATTTCTTAATCTTCTATTAAATTCTTCATCACCCGAATTCTCTTTGTTTTCGAGAAATTCATTCATTTTTTTAAAAGTCAGATTTTTGAAGTTCGTTTTGATAAAACCTACCTATGATTTGTTCTTTGTCTTGATCGATTAATTCATATGTCGGAGGTGACATTGCACCCTGCATGGCGTTGTCGATCTTCATTAGCCCACATAATGCAGAAAAGTAGGACGTAAAACTCCATTCATTTCATTTAGCTGAAATAGCTGAAAATATAAAAGTCAACGTTCTTCTAATATATCAATAATCATCTTAACATAAAACCTGTGTTTCTCCTTAAATTAATCAAAAAAAAAAAATAATAAAACAATAATAAAACAATAATAATGTAAATAAAATAATAATAATTTGAACTCCTTGATAAATGCAATAAATCTGCTTCTGGCAGTTTGGCCGATTTGTCAACTGGCTTATAAATTGATCTGGTTGTATCTAATGTGTTTAGCCATGTAGTAGTTGCAGATCATGCTTGCTTTTTCAAAACACATGATGGTACTTCTCTTTGACGAGTTCACTACTATATTACCCTAACTCCCGAATTTGCCATTCTTTAAACGAGATTTCGGATTCAATGGCCAAGTTTGTTGACTCGGTCAATTACAAAGATGCTAAGCAACCTGTCCAGGCCATGTTTCGTCGAAGTTGTACGTAGACAAAAAGCGACTGGATGATAGAGGCTTAGTGATAATATAATATGCAACTCGATGTTATTAAGATTGGCAAATACATAACATGATCCGTCTGTTTTTACTACTTTGAAAAATGTGTTTGATTTTGACGCTTGAGATGTTTTTCTATAGGATTACCCAAAGCTTGGAATGACGTCATAACAGAAGTACATCATAGACTAACTAATAAACGTCACCAAGGTTACATTTCTTTCATTTCCCTGAAAAGACACGAGTTAAAATGACAGAGGAGCAATATGTTGCAAATATTGTCGAATTTACTGGCGGCATAAACGTGAAGGTGAACGAAGATGGCATAAAACCCGAAAAGGGGACAAAAAAATCCATTCTTAAGTTCGGCTATGTTTTGGGAGCCACCATTGGCACTGGAACCTATTCCAAAGTAAAGTTATGCTATTCTAAGAAGATACACGGGAATGTGGCAGTAAAATTGGTTCCCAAGAAAACTCATCCGGAAGATTACACAAACAAGTTTTTACCAAGAGAAATAGCTTTGCTTCAGAAACTTGAACACCCCGGTTTGGTAAGACTATTTTCATAACTTATAAGCCAGAGGCGTTTGTTATAGTCAAACACAGATATTTTTGCTCATCCGGGTACCGTCAAAACATAAACACAACCAATCCATTATATTTTCAAGGATATTAAAGGTTAACTCACTCAATGGAATAAGAATATATAATAATTATGCATCTTCATTTTGAAGCCCTTTCCAAAAGATGATACTGTTTATTTCTTTAGGGCAGTGGCCATAAGATGACTTTGATATGAACAAAAAGAGAATTGTGCAAAAAATCTTCATCCAAACCTGTGTTAAATTGGATATGGAATTGATATTGCAATGTTAAATGTTGACTCGTATCCATGCAGCATTTAGGAACTGTGAAAGGAATAGACGAATGTCGCATCTTTGAACACTATTGTTCTGCCTCCAGCACACTATTTCTTCCTTGTTCTTAAATGTCTAATTCTAGAAGCTACAGCGTCATTTTAAATTGCATTTTTCTCATTTCGTTTTTGGGCAGCTTAACGGATTAGTTAACAGAATGGCAGAAAGGAAGGAAATGACGGTAAAACAAATTCGTGACATTGCGGTTCTATTTCTGACAAATTCTGTTTTTTTATTTTTTGGTGAATAAACCAAGTTGAAAACATACAAATCATATTTCAGATTGACAGGCGTTCTTATTCCATTGAGTGATTAGTCACACCCTCTAAAAGCGTTACCTTTTATACACTTGGAAATATAATGGACTGGGCGTATTTTTGTTTTGACAGTACCCGGATGAGCAAAAATATCAGTGTTTGACTATACATCATTATGTACACAATGATGATATGAATATAATTTATTTGGTTTTGTTTGTTGTTGAAGGCTGTGATGTCAGTGATGATATGTGCAGACAACTATGATTAAACGATTTTTACTACGGTTAAGCGCCGCCCATCCGCTTTTACAATATCATGTTTACGTTTATTCGCAATAGGTACATTTAATAGAAGTTTTTGAGACACCAAATACAATGTATCTAGTTATGGATTATATGCCAAAAGGAGATTTACTAGACTATGTTAACTCTGTCGGTAGTTTGCATGAAGCCGATGCCAGGCGTTTGTTCAGACAGCTGATAGACGCAGTGTCGTATTTACATCAAAACAAAGTCTACCATAGAGATATCAAATTGGACAACATTTTAATTGATGCTCAATACAACATCAAACTGTCTGGTAAGTTTGTTGCTATCAGAAAAGCAATATCGATCTTTTCAGAGGTCATTCTGCTTCCTAGATTTCCGAAGACATTTTCGCAACAATATTGTTGTAAATCAAACATTATTGTTTAGGGAAGAGATATAGACGTAGGATGTAGGGTGTGAAAGCGCATCAATAGTGTCGTACAATTAATTTGATTGTCCGTTAGCTTATTCATTGAAATTATATTTTCCGAAATCTGAATAAAAATATTTGTTAACTTTGCTAAATAGTAGCCAAATTGAAAACCTTTTCGTTTGTAGAGCTACACTTCATATTTCTGAAAATTAAGGAAAGGGCTTTTTATTGTCTTGGATCTATTGGTAATCTGGAATTATTGGAAAAATCCTAAACAATTATGATTTATGATTACAGACTTCGATACTTCAATTCCAATAAGGGTGAGGCCCAATTAAATAAGGAAAGACATCGATAATGTAACTTATCAAGATTGTATTGTCAATATTATTATCCCCATTGTACTCTTTGTATTGAACTTTCAATCTTATATATCTTACAGATCTTGGTTTTGCAAGGTTCAATCCTCGCAATGAACAGTTACATACATTCTGTGGATCGTATCCTTATGCCCCTCCCGAAGTGCTGGATGGTGAAAATTATAGTGGCGCTGAAGCTGATGTTTGGAGTACTGGTATGTTAAAGTGATACTACGTCTTAGAATTAACATAAAATTGAAGAATTTTAAACTTGGCAAATAAGAGCCAGCAGATATACCTGGTGTCATAAATAACATAACAGTATCCTTATATAATCCGATAAATCCAAAAAACTTAATTATTATCCATAAATATGCAATCAACTAATTATCAAGATTAAGCGTCTTTCAATAATTACTTAGCTTTATGAATTTTCCAGATTTTACAGGGATTCTGTTGTTACTTTATGACACCAGGTAAGCTAACTGATGAAAATATTCTCATATTGACTATTTCGAGAACTTAAATTTTATGTTCAGTCTAAGACGTAGTATCACTTTAATGATATTTTTTCCCAGTCGCAGACGAGAGGAACTAGCCGAGCTGCTTGCCTCAAGAGGTTGGAAGCTCAGCTGATTTCCCCGCGTCTGCGCTGAATTTTGAGTGAGATTTCTCGAGAGCCGTGAGGAAAATGTCTATCCTGTTTTATATTTTTGCTTAGAGAGGTCAGAAGCTCAGAACTTCATAAGTTGTCAACTGAGCTAGAAAAAGTAACTAAACAACGGCAACAGAAACGCTTTGAAGCATTACGTGCGTAAATATTAGAATTTTTCGATTGCATTCGATACATCTTGTTACAAAGGGCATAAATAAGAAAACTCGAGGTAAATCGGTCCACAAATAAGTTCTACAGGCTCCAAACCAATTTGTGTACATTATGTAATATGTCACTTCTGGTTTAGCAAAGATTTCATTTTAGATATTCATTTCTGATTCCAGCCCACCCCAAGATGTGGATCCAAACAGAAATGCTTTATCATTTTCAGTTTCGCCTAGCCCCCAAATGGAAGTCTGAGAAAATCAATCTTCTAGGCTAATTAGGTCACGTGCCAGAACAGTCTAAAGTTACGACATTTTCTTTCGAAGGTTGTGAAACCAGAAGTAGACGTAAGAAATCACAAATGAATGTATCAGCAGATAGTCAAGGTCAATGACGGTAAATGACCTTTGACCTTGTAAAGGGAAAGTTCAACAAAGGTCAAGGTCACGAGCTATAGGTCATCAAATTTTCTAAATGCATATGGCTATAAAACCGGCAGCTGACGTCGGACATCAAATATTGATATATAAGTATATAACCAAGGTCAATGACCATTGATCTTACAAAAGTCAAGGCCAAACAAGGTCAGGGTCGAAAATTGAAAATATGGAAATTCTTAAACCTGTTCCTTTTTTAAACTATAAAGATGAAAAAAAAAATGAGTTTTTCAGACAAACTGACCAAGGATGAGTTAATTGTGTGCAAAGTTAATTTTTGAATAAATGTATTCTATGCGAGTAATTCAATCCGGATGTGCCACGCCACCTTAACTTTATTGTGTCAAAACAATCAAATTAAAAAAAAATTTGAATAATAATAATTAATAATTTTGAATTAAAAAGCTATTGTTAAATTTCATTGGTAACAGCTTAAAGAGCACATTAAGAATTCGAAAATATTAACTATTAATATGGACAGCTATGAAACTGGAAGAAGATGTCGGAGGTCAAATACGAAAATTATCAACTTATAGTTATGGTCGATGACCTTTGACCTCATTTAGGTCAATGTCATCAAAGGTCAAGGTCACAAGATATGACCCTTCAAATTTTGAATAAATTCAATCCAAAATTTTTGTTTTCGTTCTGGCTATTTTTTTTTTCTTCGCTCCGGGAGCTCAGTTCTCGGAAACAGCAACAGGTATGGAAAAACTTATTTCGCCACACTTTCTAACTCGTGGCTAACTGCGTACTGAATGTAAAACGAAAATTTTCTGAGCAACATGAAGCGACGTTAGCAACAAACAGAAAGTGGGCTCTAGTGGGCGTAATTATCGACCGATTTTGCTCGGCTTCCTTTATTCTACTTATTATAACAATGGACACATGATGGCAGTTGAAAAAAATTGATTTTCGCAAATTAGTTCGATACTTTTTTTAATCGAAATATGCTATTTCGGTTGCTATTTGTCGGACAGATTTGAAACTTATACAGTGTAGACAGCCAGCATGGTGGAATAAAAAAACTTATTCAAAATTTTTGCATCACTTCCGGTTTCGAAGTTAGTACTTCCGGTGACGTCACTTCCAGTGGAATTGAGTTATGCCCAAACTAACATATGCATGATATTAGTGTCATTAATACAAACCTATTAAACTAAATTTTAGCTCGCAAAAGCTCTAGAAGCTTCAATTCTTGACAGATTTTGACGAAACTTGTTTGTTGACACCTAAAGATGAACCCTATTGAAAATCAGAAGAATCGAAAAATACTTGGTATGAGTTATTGCCCTTGTTCTTGAAAATGCGTTCAATTTGTAGCCTACAAACACTCTCAAAGGCCCTATTCTTGACAGAATTTGATGAGACTTAGCAATATTATTCAATATCGCCTCTAAAAGTTCATAAGAAGTGCATGTCTGAAGGTTGAGTATTTCATACTGGTAATTGTTACTGTACTGCCAGATATTTTTATTTAAAATCAAAGCTGCTAGTGGGCGCATATTACCTTGCCTTTAACATAAATTAAATGGTAATAGAAAAAATATTTTTTTATTTATCATGGCCTCAGGACGCTTCCGTAAGTACAGAAAATCAGAAATATCGATAATTAGTATGAGTTATTGCCCCTGTTATTGTCAACGCGTGTAGTGTTAGCTTGTAAACACTCTAGAAGGTTTGACTGTGTCATTTTTTTTTTTGTGTCAATGTTTGTTATCACCAGAGGATGAACCCTATTGAAAATCAGAAAAATAATAAATAATATTTAGTTTGAGTTATTGCCCTTGTTCTTGAAAGCACGTTCAATTTTAAGCTTGAAAACACTGTAGACAGATTTTGACGAAACTTGGTGTGGGTGTTTGTTATCACCAAAGGATGTACCCTATTGAAAATCAGAAGAATCGAAAAATATCTAGTATGAGTTATTGCCCTTGTTCTTGAAAACTCACAAATAAAGTATGTACATTTGCTATGTGTTTATTAGTCCGAAACATATGCCTTTAATAGCTATTGTGAAAGTTGTCGACTGGAGTAGGGTCAGAAAGACTAGGCCCTGTTTATCACCGCCGCTTTCGTTTTGTTAGTATCATGTGACCCTCTGACCCTTGGTTCTTTGTTGGCCGGCGAGAAATTTACCTCGTTAGAGATAAGTCTCGTTCAAAACAACTATGATTGAACCATGGGAACCGCAGATGTGACATAAAGGGTGTATAACTGAACTACATTTTTTTTATCCATCTTTGCGAATAGACCGGAATAGAGGCATGTGTTTCGGACTATTTCATGTCTATTAGATACGAACAAATATACTCGATACCTTGATTTCTTTTATTTATTTTTATTATTTTTAACAGGAGTTTGTTTATATGGTATGTTAAATGGTAAACTTCCCTTTAAAGATACAGATTATGATGTTTTAAGAGAAAGTATGAATGGGTGTCTGAAGTTTTACAAACGTGTTTCTAGAGGTAAAGGTCATTCTTATACGCCCACATGAAATCACCCAAAGATGAACTCTATTGAAAATCAGAAGAATCGAAAATATTTGGTATGAGTTATTGCTCTTGTTCTTGACAACGCGTTCAATTTTTAAACACAATTCTTGTCGGATTTTGACGAAACTGGGTGTGAGTGTTCGTTATTACCCAAGGATAAAACCTTGCGATAAGTTTAGTACAAACTCTATTGTGAAACAGTCATCTACGAAACGTTCTAAAATTCATCTTTAATTTCTCGTTTAGATCTTCCAAAACATGTACCCCCAGATCGTTTTTGTCATTGTTTAATATTATTTTGAACTTAATTTAATATAATGACAATTTTTGCTGTTGTCTACTTCTGGTCACGCAACCCAAAACTGCTCATGCCACACATGATCTGATATGATTATTTTTACAACCTAGCGTGTCGTTAGTGGATGAATGATATATGACGCATTTTGCCCAACTAACGTTATCTTACGAAACAGGGTTGAATCCATTGGTGTTTGTTTACATGTTTGAGCACTCGAGCTGTCCACATGGATATGGCATGGCCACCGATTCAAAATATTAATACCAACTCCTTAACGCATAAATACGCTTTTCAAATTCTTCAGAATTCCGAAGTTTAGAGGCAAATCACGTCAAAATCGGAAGTGATATCGTAATTTTAATATTTTAGTCGCGATACTCACTTTTGTGGATCCTGAGTGTAGGATGGAACAAATTCTTCATTTTGAAATTGGAATATAAGGTCTGGAACTTTTGGGTATTTTTCTTCCGTTCTGATCTGATCGCCTAATTGGGCGAGAGGTTAGTTTATTATATACGTCTTGTCTTCAGTTTGCTATGAACAAGGTTGTCATTTAAGTTCTGGTTTTTCGAATATGCGATAATTATCTTTTGTTTATAGGTTTGGGGCAATTTCTCTTGTAGACTCTCATAGTAGGAATGGACTATTGAACGGGACAACAAAGGGTGCTATGCCTGCTGAATATGGCATATAGCATCTCAATCTGAATGGTCGTCCAAGTTGAAATAATTAGAAACAGGATTGTCTCTCATTAACTTGATATCTGATCTGTGAGCCGTAAAACGAGTGCGTAAATTATATTTAGTTTCAGACATTTCTTACATGGAACTAAGTAAAATTGGAGGTTTAGATGCTTGCATGCGTTAGTACTATGATTCCACAAAACCGTCAATTTAAAAGGGAAATATTGGGTGAGGAAACAAAGGAGGAGAGGAAAATCAACTTCAGAATGACTCCCGTTTCATGTTTATTTCTAGATGGCCGAATTTTGATACGTTCAATCTTAGAGCCTAATACAAAAAGGCGATATAAGTTGAGGGATATTATTCACAGTAACTGGATGTGTCGACCGATTAAAGTTCCTGATGGATTTTCCATGTCATCTTTAGCGATAGCTGCAGGTAAGAACTTTACACGTCTTTATACGCCCACAAGTCCGTCCGTCCGTTATCATCCAGATATTGGTCAAGTTCAGAATTAGTAATAATCAGAAGAACATTTTCAGAGTTATTGCCCTTGACTTAGAAAAAAAAACGCGTCAAATTTGGCTTGTAGACACAATAGAGACAGTTTTTATCTCATCTTGATGAAACTTGGTATGCATGCATATATTGATGAGATCTTGATCAAGTCCGAAATTGGTGATAATTGCACGACTGGTTTCGGAGTTATTGCCCTTGATTTAGTAAAAACGCGTCAAATTTGGCTTGAAGGCACGATAGAGGTTACAGTTTTTATCCAAACTAGATGAAACTAGGTATGCATGTACATGTTGATGAGATCTCAGTCGAGTTCGTAATTGGTAACAACCGGATGAAGGGTTTTTGAGTTATTGCCCTTGACTTAGTAAAAACTTGTCAAATTCGATAGAGACTACAGTTTTTTATCCAATCTTGATGAAACTGGATATGCATGTATATATTAATGAGATCTCGGTCAAGTTAGAAATTGGTAATAATCGGATGAACAGTTTCAGAGTTATTGCCCTTGTGTGTACAGCGATGAGACATTGTTCATGTATGAATTTGATGATAATTTGATTAACTGTTTCAGGTTTTTGCCTTGACCTAAAGATGATTTTAAGATTATTTGAAAATTCATTATTATGCCACTAAATATTTTGTTATTTCTGACAGCTGGTAGTTGGCGTATTTTACCTTGGCTTGACTTATAGATGATTTTAAGATCATTTGAATATTCATAATCAAACCACTAAAGATTTTACCATTTCCGACAGCTGGTAGTGGGCGTATGTTACATTGCCTGACAAGCTATCTTTTGCTTAGCCAAGCGCAATAACTCAAAGCCCCTTGATCCTGATGACAGTCTGTGCTTCGCTGCTATTTCTGCTAAAGTAGGATTTTTAATGTTTCGTCATCTGTCAACCGGGCTATTTAGGAGAGAGACCATGACTGAAAGACATACTGGGTTTGTGAAGTTTCAGAGCCAATTTTAATGGACCCGAGAGTAATTAGGGTTAGTTGAATGCACTGTCAAAATTAGCAGGTAGTAAATAACCTCACAACAGAAAAATTGTGATTCAGACATGGTAGTAGTCAAAGAGTAGACCTAGTCTTCATCACATTTACAACTACAAGCACTAAAGAAAACAAACCTGACAGGGGTAACAACAATTTTATAATCAGGGCCTGATCTTTTTAAATCAATGGAAGTTGGCTCTTTGTCAGATATTCCTTACCCTTAAAGTACACCGACTCTTCCATGCTCTATTTACACCGAATTTTCCCATCTTAAACCCCTCTTCACCAAGTAATCATTAATCATGGTTGAGACTGTACAAATAAAACATAACATAGCCTATACTTGAGAAAAATGGTAGAATAAACGGCATCTCTGAAATTCTTTATGAAATACTGCTCTAAAATGGGTCATTCATCTAGTCTTCGTTAGCCGGACGGAATTTCTTGGTTTTATCAATATTATTATCATCTCCGAGATTTTTAGGATGAGGCACATTGATTCTAAATGAGGGATATACTATAAATATGCATTGGGATCTTGTTTTCTAAGCATTCTTTGCATATAATAGTCCTGACCCATCTGAATAATACAGAACGCAGTCGGGGTCAAATTGTCTTCCCTGGGTCTTGACCTTTGGTCAGATAGACGCTGTGGTCTAAATGACAGATCAGAAAAAAGTAAAAAAAAACCTTGATGACCATATGATAATATAGACACCAATGAATCTGCCTTACTTCACTATGACTAACTTTAATTGAATCGGATGTAATACTATTATAAATATTACTTGTCACGTACTTAATAACAAAGAGTAATATAAGATCAAATAATACAACATACATTTATATAAAACTGCACTTTTATAAAACAAATATCATGATCTCAAATGTTTCATTTACTGATAGTTCAAGTCAACCTTCCCGGAGAACTTGGCTACCATTGTAATTGTGGGCGTATTGGGATGGCCATCGCTATTTTTCCTTTTTTTTTTTGGTCCGGAAAAACATATACGAATGAATACGTGAAGAGGCATATTATCATGAACAATTACCACTCATAGTTTCGTCACAAATAATTATTTAAATCGATAGTCATTCTAAATGACCTTTGATTCTTTTATCGAAATATATATCATGGCTATAAGTATACTTTTTCTTTTTTATGATAGTGAGCAATGAACCTGTTAAACTTCAATTATATCCAAATATTGAACATGGATTTTCTTGCGCTCAAAACACAACTCAACCTCACGTCAATATAGTATCTGGTGTATTAAGATCAGTTGCAGTAAATCATTCGTAAGTACAAACCAGTTTATTAAATTCACTTAAATATACAGCAGTTCACACCGATCATACTGTTTTACATTGTTATAATTTTCGTAAAGATCCCCCATATTTACAGAAGTTCTTTTCTGCGTTCTCAACAACGGAATACCTTTTTAGTTAGCTTTGTAAAATAGTATTAAGCGAGAATAGAATTCCAAAATCTTTTTCAGAAACGATTTACAGTGAAAGGTATGCAAACGCGTAGAAATATATCAATGTGTAATGGCACTCTTTGTCATTAGTACTATGTCCAGATTGTTACGTAATTACACTACAAGCGTTTGTACACAATGCAAATATAAAGAAAAAGATAGCTTGCTAGGCAACTTTATATACACCCAATGGCAGCTTTGATTTTGAATAAAAAATATTTGGCAGTACAGTAGCAATCACCAGTATGAAATATTCAACCTTAACTCTTACAGTTCAATTAAACTTTTTGGGACGATATTGAATAATATTAACACGTTTTGTGCAAATCTGCCAGGAATTGGGCCTTCTATAGAGTGTTTATAGACTAAAACTTGAACGCGTTTTCAAGAACAAGGACAATAACTTTCGATTTTTCTGATTTTCAATAGGGCTCATCCTTGGGTGATAATAAACACTTACACAAAGTTTCGTCAAAATCCAGCAAGAATTGTGCCTTCTAGAGTGTTCACGTGCTAAATATTGAACGCATTTCCAAGAACAAGGGCAATAATTCATACTAAGAATTTTTTGATTTTCTTAATTTCAATAGGGCTCATCCTTGGGTGATAACAAAACACTCACACCAAGTTTCGTAAAAATCCAGCTAGAATTGTGCCTTCTAGAGTGTTCACGTGCTAAAAAAATTGAACGCATTTCTAAGTACAAGGGCAATAATTCATACTTAGAATTTTTCGATTTTTCTGAATTTCAATAGGGTTTATCCTTGCCCTGGGTGATTACAAACACTCGCACCAAGTTTCGTCAACATGTATTAATACGACATATACTGTTTTGTTCTAAACTGTGTTTGTGGACATTTTCTTCATTAAATATTTCACTGGTCTTTAACTATGCCGATACGTTGATGATGTGTTGGTGCGTCACAGGGTCTCCGACGGCCCCACATACTTGATACCTGGTTAAATTGTATCGTAAAGGCAAATTTTCTACTTTATACACAACTATTACTCATTCAAAATTGAAATCTAGATTATAAGATATAATATACAAGACCATCTTATTCCAAACCAGAACAGAAGATAAAAATACATTGACTTCAATATAACTCTACCTTTTTCGTTCAAACCCACTCTGGCGTTATTAAAAAACATACTGGATAGGATGTTTTTCAAATATTGAATTTTTGGATTACATATTTGTCGAAATTGGCGGAGAGATATATAGGGTGTTAAAAATAACGTTATACCTAGAACAAATTGCAATATTTTTTTTCTGAACTAAAATAGTTTTTATATGCAACCATATGCAGGTCTAGATATATAATATAGGACAAGTTGATGGTCGTTATGCACACTTTGACAAATACGACAAATCTACTTGTTTTTTTGCAGATTTGTTTAGTCATACATGAATGATTTTGACCTATTTAGTTGTGGTGGTTGTTGCACGGAACAGCCCACAGCTCTCTTCCCGATGACACCGTATGGGAAGTCAACTACTATACAATTATTGCTCCCGTTTTTTGTCATGCTTTGGACATGATTGGTTAATAGAATTTTTTTTATAATCCCTCGTTTGGCAAGCCTGTATGTAAAAAATTTTGATATGAAATAAATCATCTATGTCAATGACGTGATAAGTATGGTGCATACACATGATCTTTCATGTTATGCTGTTCCTCACAAAGAATCCTATTTTAGTCGATTATGATATTACAACAAACGATATTTAAGTGTTTGCTTGACACTTGTCTTTAGTAATGTGGCCTGTGTAGTGTGTAAGTATGACGTTGCCAAAATTTTCGATTGTGTTGCAGCTTTAAAATACCAATGTCGTCATTACAAAATGCATTTGTCAATGCTGCAATGTACAATTATTTTCGATTTGTCAAAATGCAAAATGTATTTAAGTATTCTCGAAAATTCAATAAAATGCCACACGGATGCAGACAACATTTAACACTTTGCATCATACACTTTCGTCGCCGTCCTGTGAAAACCTTGTATCTACATTTTAGGTGTTGTCACTTTTTGATTGAATTTTATTCAGAATTGAATTCTCCACCCTATGATAAATCCATGTAACTGCAAACCCAATTAAAACACAAGAAATTAGCATGTGACACATCCTCGTATATGTATTGGTCAATGATCCTATCATATGAAAACCATGTATCTGCAGATTTTTTTACATGGTAGTTGCTGCTTTTTTCCTTTATCCCCAACTAAGGACTAAACAAACTACAGGTAATATCCAAATTGATACGATTTCCTTTTTTATCTATAGATCTGTACCTTACTTCACTTATCAAATAAAATTTGACATCAAATTCATACAGTTTTTCTGCATAAAATTCATGAATTTTGACACTTGGAAGATACGTGTATTTCCTCAGCAATATTCAACAGTTTAAGTAGACACGTGTTTTTCAAAGAACAACAGTTCTATAACTTTTTATTTACAAGATGTAATATTTGGAAATAAACGGTTTTCTTTGATTTAAGTGTAAAAGGATCACAGATATCCTTTTATTCATTTTCAGGCAGAAAATAAAATGTCTACAGATATAACATTAGAAGAGTTATGCGATATTGTTAACATATCATACAATCCAAATGATTTTGGTGATACGGATCCTTACTTTACTTCTGATGATGAATTGGAAGTCCGACCCGTCATTGAATTTGAAAAGAAAGATGAGATTGCTGATCCTCAAGTCGAAAGAGCGATAGAAATTGAAAGAGCTATAGAAATTGAAAACGTTATAGAAGTTGATAAAGTTATAGAAGTTGATAAAGTTATAGAAGTTGATAAAGTTGATAAAGTTATAGAAGTTGATAAAGTTATAGAAGTTGATAAAGTTATAGAAGTTGATAAAGTTGATAAAGTTGATAAAGTTATAGAAGTTGATAAAGTTATCGAAGTTGATAAAGTTATAGAAGTTGATGAAGTTATAGAAGTTGATAAAGTTATAGAAGTTGATGAAGTTGATAAAGTTGATAAAGTTATAGAAGTTGATAAAGTTGATAAAGTTATAGAAGTTGATAAAGTTGATAAAGTTATAGAAGTTGATAAAGTTGATAAAGTTATAGAAGTTGATAAAGTTATAGAAGTTGATAAAGTTGATAAAGTTATAGAAGTTGATAAAGTTGATAAAGTTATAGAAGTTGATAAAGTTATAAAGTTGATAAAGTTATAGAAGTTGAAAGAGCCATAGAAGTTGAAAGAGCCATAGACGATATTGGTGATCCTCCAGTTAAAAGAGCCAGAAATGCTGATCCTGATCGATGGCAACAAAATCAAAACCAGCTGTTAAGAATGAGAGGTAAAGGGTATAAGAGTAGAAAAAAATCTGCAGGCGTTAATATCACAAAAGAGCCTCGTTTTATGGGACCGAGATGTTCTCCAAAATGTTCAAAATCTAAGAATAGGTTCTGTAATGGTATTAGTGATATCTGCCGACAGTAACTTTTTGATTCTTTTTGGAATCATTTGGACTGGAAGAGCAGGAAGGTGTATGTTAAGGGTCTGGTTGATGTTGTTCCTGTGAAACGGAAAACAACCGAAAATCAAAATAGCAGAAGAAAGTCATCCTTGGTTTACCACTTGAAGACAAGAGATGGACGCAAACCCGTTTGCAAAGAAATGTTCCTCTCTACTTTTAGTCTTGGGGAATGGTCTGTACATTCTTGGGTTCACAAAGATTTGGGTACTGATAACATTGTTGAGGCTGCAATAATACCAGCAAAGAAACGCATGACACCATTAAGGGAAAGGCAGCAAAACATACGAAAATCTGTACAAGCCTTTCTTGAAAAACTACCCCAGGTACCCTCCCACTACTGTAGAGCATCATCATCCAAACTTTACCTTGAACCACAGTTTATATCTTTGTCGCAATTGTATGATCTTTATAAAGAAGATTGCACAGAGCAAGGTTTGAATGCAGCATCTCGTCAAATACTTTCAGATGAATTCCATAAGAAAAACTTGAGTTTGTATCGGCCGCGTAAGGATCAGTGTGATACATGTTTCTCCTATAACAATGGCAACCTTACTGAAGAAGAGTATACTCTACATAGAAAAGCCAAAGATGTGGCAAGGGATGCCAAACAGGCCGATAAGGATATTTGTAAACAAGAAACCAACAAAACTTTGGTCATCACCATGGATATGCAAGCGCTTCTACTATGTCCTAGATTGGAAGCATCCGCTTTATATTATAAAAGCAAACTCGGAGTTCACAATTTTACTATGTACAATATGGGTAATAGTAAACTTTTCTAGCTGAATATCTGCCCTGCAACGTAGATGTAAGAGATTGCACGAAATAGTGTCCAATAAGGCAGATGGCTACGAGCAAGACAGTTATTCTTTTTTGGGTATCCTCCATTTTTTTTTTTTTTTTCAACTGCCATTTCACCTGAACAAACCAATATTCTCGGGCACAAAATAAACCACAACTTCCTGTGAACGGTATTCTTATTTAAACCACCATTTTTCCCGGATTCACCAATTGCCAAACCAACCGATCTCCGGTTATCAAAAACCATATCACCAGACATAATACATAATTTCACTTGTGTCCTATAATATACATGTGTATCTGCTGCTCTAGCAAACGGAATATGATTACCCCCCTTCATCGTTCGGCGCATGACTCAACAAGCCCATCAATCACGATTCTACAAAGCCTGCCCCTGTCACGACCCTGCCATCTCTTATCATAACCCAACCACAAAACCAATGACAATGAGAATGGTTTAGCGACATCTACGTGTGCAAAAAAGGGCAGGTAATTCATCACGAATAGTAAACTTTTCTTGCTGAATATCTGCCCTGCAACGTAGATGTAAGAGATTGCACGAAATAGTGTCCAAACTGCCTGTGTATGTGTCCTCGACTATAATAAAATAAACACAAACACCGTTAATTTCCCAATACATATTTAATTTCACATACATCTACCCAATACACATTTTACTTATAGCAAATACACAAAATATATATATACCATATTCAGGAGGTCGTAAAAAACTGGCTCAGGTCAACAATTTCCTACTTTCAAAAAGGCACATTTAATAAACAGCAAACTGTAAAACAGGACGAGAAATGATGCACACAATTCTTCCAAATGTCCGCTTCAGGTTATCTTCGAGGACTTGGAATTCGAAGCATCGTCAACTGACATCTCGAGACGCACTGAAGCGAATATCTGGATAGCTCATATACACCGAAAATCATGCTTTTTAGTATCTGTTTACATACAATGCCGGCCCTAATTGAATTCCAAATGTGTGTCCAAATCGCTTCGAGCTTAAACTCCAATCAGTTCACAAGACGTGTAGACTAGTGTCACCTAGCGACAACATACTTATCACGTTTGGAATCGAAATCAGATTTCGTGCGATCACCTAAAAGCACTTCATTCTCACAAAAGACCTACATCTTTACAAAAACGGGTCACTCCAAAAGTATTCAAGTGTAACCCGTCTAACAAATGGATCGACTGAATGTCATGCGCAACGTAGTGAAATAGAAAATGGGAACATTTAGTCACTAATATATCATTTAAGTAAGTACTGCCCACCCCACAACCTTCGCGATCTGAATACAAAACCCCGGAAATAATAATAGTAACATTAAACCGACGCCTTGCCTCATCTAGGATATCAAACAATTCATTACAATCTGACGAATACATTGACTTAGAAACATCTCTGCTTGACAAAATATCATTTATACCAACATGAATGAAACAAAAGAGCGGTCTTAATTGATTAATAATACCACTGACATGACGACATATAGTCTTAATTCTCCCCCCACTAAACGCGAAAACTCTCACCTGACAATCTCCCACCTCGTCTACAGTCCTAACAATGGAGTCTCCCACAAGAATTTTAGACACAGCACTACCACTAGGACACGTCACCATATTCGCTTTAAACCGAAGCCCAATTTGGAAAGCTAACAAATTCCATGGCAACCCCTTTTTGTCTCGAAAAAAACCCTTTTTTGAAGGGTACCTCAAAATATCCTTATCCCTCTTACTACCAAGTAGAAAACTGTAACCTGATAAATGTACAAGTTTCGGCCACCAAACTGGCTTTAACTCAAACAAAGGTTTTGCTCCCCCAAAAATGCAATTACCGACAAAATCATCGAGATAGGAGGGAACACGTAACATACCTCTCTCTGCAAATTTGTTTGCGCGAAAAAATCAACCACAGACGTGTCGGGGGTGACATGAGGCGTAAAATGCTTTGGTAACTGAGAATTGGAGTCTAAGGCCATAAGATCTACCGTATGCTCCTCTGACGACGATTGCCACCCTCGAAAGCATAGCGTCTTCCTTTGACAATATTCTCGAAAAATGATCAGCAGTATTTCCCCTTGAGGGAACGAATTTGAACTGCAGATAAATCCGATTTTCGTTCACAAAATAAAATATTTTCTTCAAATACTCAATTAGCATCGGAGATCTAGAGCCTTGGTTTTCCCACGCGTCAATAAAAACCCTTGAATCAGAAAATACCCTTATTCTCACATCGCAGCAGAGTGACTTAATTGCTTCCAATGAAAACAATATAGCATACGCCTCCTTCACAACAATTGGCATCCCAAGAAACAGCTCATTCCAATAGTCACCGAATTCTTGAACAACGCCATCAACATTTATATTACCCGCCCAACTAAAATTCGAAGCGTCAGTTGTCAAATTTAGGATCACGTGCTTCTCTTCCTTCCATGGCATGAAACCATCCCAGGTGTCCAAAAAACGCCAAAATTTCAATTCATCTCTGAAAAATCACTAATGCTTATGAAATTTAAGTAAGAAATACATCTACAAGCTTCGGATGTGAAAAGTTTTGCACCTGGGATAGCCAACATAAAAGAAATGCATTTCCCCACAAACTTTTGATTTCCAATAGAGAGACGGTCTTCTTATCAAGAATACTCTCACGCAACTTAATGAAAGCATTCCTCGTAGACTCGGGCAATAAAAAAGCCTCTTTCTCGGTGTCTATTATCATACCAAGGTAAATTATTGAAGTGGACGGTAAAAAAACTAGACTTTCCCAAACCAATGAAATACCCGAGTCGAAGAACAATTTGACATGTAGCATAAATAGCCACATCCGCGCTTTCTATTGAGCTGCCATTAAATCCCATAACCTCCCCAACCAAACGGTCATCAATATATATAAGATTATTTACATTAAGCGTCCGTAAGTAGGATGCAACAGCCAAATTTAAATTATGATATATAAACGCTGAATTTTTCCACCCAACTGGAATAGTGTTACACAGAAAATACCTCGAATCCCATTCAAAACCAAAATATTGTCTAGATTTCTCAGTAACTAGAACATGGTCATAGCCCGACTTATCGTCTAATTTTGTCATTGACGAAGCTTTATTAACTATACGAGGTACTTCATTTAAAGAATCTAACGTAAAAGGCGAATCAACCATCCAGCTATTTAAAAAACGCAAATCTAGACATAATCTTGGTTTCGACGGCTCTACCGTTAGCGGCGATACTAAATATGGCATAGTTTTTGTTTCAGATATGGCACCCGAGATGAGCCTTTTCTCAATTTCTGAATTTATAAAACCCTTAAACTCTTCACATGACTTTGAATTGCTAAACTTAAGAGATGGAGGTGTATCTAAATCAAAATAACTACGTTTAAAATAACTCTTGAATGGACACATATAATCGTAAATATTGACCTTATCAGCAACAACCTTCAAAACGTCAAATTTTGAATGATCACCATATTCACCAGCCACCCTCACCCACTCACTAAAATGCTTATGAATTTCTCCCGCCCTAAAGTGATTTGGGTCCCTAAACGGTAACTGTAATAAATCAGGCTTGCATCGTCCTTTAATCACATCTTCCGCTGACGAATGGCCATTCCAACACATGCGCTCCCCATTACTATTAACCCATAACACGGTATCAATACCATTTTACAACAAAAAATGTTAGCTGAAAAAAAATGTCAAATTCCATCGAAAAAGAACAATAACAAATTTCAGACTAAGACATTCCAGCCTAAATTATCAGTTTTTCTTACAGTTTTTCGCTATATGCCCATATTTTTGACAATTATAACACTTAGGGCCTCTGCTCGAGCTGCTTGATTTCTGCTGACGAACGCTATCCTTTTCATTTTTCGCGGCTTTGTGACTCTCAGAAGATGAACAGGATCTCAAAAAATTTTGTTCTTTTTTTAAGACCTTACCTTCCTCGTTAGTCGCCAACATTGCTAGTATGATACTTCTCAGCTTATCGTGATTTTTATAGTGATGAAATCGTTGTATAACGAACGAAAACGTGTCAGCCTCAATATGAGATGCTTTCCTTGCTCTAAGCTCTAGGACTAACAATTTCTGCAGTAGAATATCCGGGACGAAATCGTACGTTCTAGATGCATATTCTTTCACCTGGCTTAAACAGGATTCAACAGATTGGTCAGCATCTTTTGTTTTCTGCTGCTCAAATAACCTTTTCAACTCCTTCACCTCATCTTCGATGCTACTCTAAAAAATCAAGAATGTATCATTAAACACTCAATAATAATTTCCACCCACTCAAATTCATCTTGGACTTCATAATCTCATCACTTTTGACCAAAAGAGCCTGATCCGAAGACATAGCTACAGAAGCTGATTTAGCATTCGTCATGGTCCACAATTTCACATAACTTTCCATTATAGATTTTGACTTCCAACCGACGTGAGACTGAATCTGTTCATCAGATATGCCTAGCATTTTCAATGTAATTGCACAACCCGATCTCGCACTATGAGACGTCTCCCCCTCCCATAACCCAGCATCCTTCAAATGCTTTCTCAACCTGCTATTAATTGGTGAAGACGAAATAGGTCGATTTTTCGTGAAGTCTAAAATCGATCTACATGATCGAAACAAATATCCATCTCGCACTTTAAGCCCTTCAAATCACAAAAGCTCACAAAATCGAGGATCTCCTCTACTGGGCAAGACTCCACATTCGCACTTCGGGCTACACAAAATATTCTAGCTTCTGTTTTTATTGTTTTACCCTGTGTCATACGAACTAACAAACCTTCCTCGGTTTGTTTTATTTGATCCGTCCTAAGATTCGCTAAATCACTTGCTCTATCACCAGAATGACGTATAAACTTTATAAACGCCTTATCCCTTCTAACTAGATATTCTTCTCTAATCAACAAAGGTCTTGTTAAATAAAACTCCAAATATCTGTCCAACTTGGCAGCCTTATCCAAAA